AGAGAATTCAGAGTGTGAGTGAATTGGGAAAACCTACAGTCCATTAAGTGAGATTATTATAGCATTTAATCAATTAAGTGGTCTGTATCAAAATTGTATAAATTCAAATTTTGTTCAACAATTTAATTTGGTCTTATAAACTATGTCATTTTAGTATTGTCCTAATATTGTTTTATATTTTTGCCATCATTAAATTCATGGTCGAACTCTAGTTGAGATTGAATATTTCATTTTATTTATTTGTTTATGGAGCTTTGAGTTTATAGATTAGTTAAGAAAAATATTGATGTATATTGCATACTATAATTTAATGGCCCAAATTGAATATACATTTCAAGCCCCCAAAAACTCCAACCTTGATTAAATTTCATCCGAATTGAACAATATTCTTGGCTCCGCCCTTGAATATTTGCATACATTGTTGCTGCAATTTGTTATTTTTTTGTTGCATTCATTAGATATCACACATTTGAGATTATCATTGATGACAATATTCTTGTGTAACTTGAACAACCCAACCGACTTGTTGCAATGGCAAAAATATTCATTGTTGTTCATGTATTGAAAATTATTGGGTAATTTTTTTTTACCCAAAAAATTCCAGTTATGATTTATTCATTGAGTTATATTTTCTGTGTTTATTCATCTTTAGCTTTTAGAAAACTCATGTATATGTCATGTCAGTGTTTAACATAATAGAAACTTGGGATGTCAGGCAAGGCATGTTCAATAAAGTCTACTATTCTTGGAGCTCCTGTGTTCCACTTGAACGTCCTTAATTTTTTACCCCACAGTAAAAAATGTCTGGGTCAACCTCTGTCGGTAAAACAATTGAAACTAAAAATTGGCTATCTAAATTGACATTCAATCTTCTAAGACAAAATAAAATTCAATAATTCAATTGAATTTTTTCTAAAATTTAAGTGACCGTGGATAAAATTTACTCAACAAGAGATAAAATGTTACTTAAAATGACTTCACTTTTTTCATAAAGTAGCCTAACGTGCTCTAAAGTCATTCCAAAGAAGGTTCTAGCCAGCAGGCGTGATGCCGGCCACATGAGAAACTCAGTTTGCCCTTTGTGTTTGTTCTTTTGCCCTTTTGGAATCAGCCAAAACCCAAAAAAGAAAAAAAGGAAAAAAGGAAAAGCATAACATAAATATGTTGTCAAGGGTAGGGAATATTGTTGAGTTTTCTTCAGTGCAATGTATGAAATATGTTCTTAATGTGTTGTAGTAATATTTGGTTACACACATCAAATAGCAAATGACTATGAATTGAACATTAATCCTTACTTCGAGAGCAATAATGAACAAAAAGAAATCAGAAACATGCAAAAGAAACATATGGACTGGAATTGTTCAACTTCAACAATAGAAAAAATATTTCAATGAGGTGGCTTTAAAGGAATACCTCTGCGGGACGGTCTTATATGCGCTATTAATATCGTCCAGTCATATTGTGACTCGAGGGATTCAAGGTTCGAAGTGTCATGATTAAAATGAACAGTATTATCATATGTGTATGTGGGACCGCTCCATTGAAGCATTTCTCCAACGAAAAGGCTAACTTGACTTGCTACCGAAGATTTTTCACTATAATAAAGGAAATAACAAGATCTTTCACATTATCCCTCGTTTGGCCCCCATTTTTTCAAATGGTAATGGATGGAATAATTTTTTTTTGGAGAATGAGTGGTTGAAAAAGAAGGAAAAATTTTCGATTTACGTGTAATATTATTTTATAAAAAATTATGTAATTGAAATAGGAAAGAGATAAATAAAATTTAATTTAATGGGGGCAAAATGGGGCTTAATCTATTGTCTACACAATAACGTTACCCCCACAACATCCTAGCAGAAGGGGGAAAAAAGGGAAAGCATTTACAAAAATATCACTTTTTTAAAATCTTTGGAAGATTGTTAATTTTTGACATTTTTGCCCTTCTAGATAATTCGGATACTCTTCATATCCTTCATTAAATATAGATTTGACTAGATGAAAAAATAGTACAAAAAAATTTAAAACATCACATCTCTTATTTCACTACTCAATTGTTGACAAATTATCTTCTAATTAATGAAAAAATTGATAGAGATTTTCATTTTCCTCTCCAGCCGAATCTACCTCTCCCCTCTTCTAGCTTCTTGTTTCTCTGCTCCATCCAGACCGACGACGGCAATGGCCACTCCCTTAGGTAGTTAGGCTGCTTCTCTTCTTGTTCTTCTCTTTCCTTTACTCTTTACTCTTTCAGAAATCAAAACTTGCTGGCCTTTTTTCAACCCTAACCACGCCGTCACTGTGTCATATCAGCCATCTATGCGATAGTATCTCACTCGCACCTCCAGCCAGCTACCTACTCCCAATAAAGGATAAGTGAAGATTGTTTGTCTAACTCTCTAACTTTCTTCAAATCTACAGAATCAAAAGGAAAAGGCAATAATGGTGATGTCCAAATTGGGTTTTTGTTCATGTGTGATATTTTAGCTTTTTACATAATTGATTTTAGGTATGTGGTATGTTTGCATGTGCATGCTTTTGTTTTTCAAATTTTGATTTGTTTCTGGATTTTTAGATGTGCACATTTTGCAATATATGATGGTCATGGAGGTTGGTTAGCTGTAAAGTACGCTGAGAAGCATCTTCACATTAGTGTTCTTTCAATGGGCTTATCACGTGAGCTGGTCTATTTGTTTGAGAATTTAGTGTTGTAATTATTGCTCAAATTTTTATTTTAGAAAACAACTATATTTTACATTCCATTTTGTAATTGCCCTTTCATGGTTTGGCCTTTGATGAAAATTTTTAGTTGGATGTCAAGTGTTCGAAGAAGGTAGTTTAATGTAATTGCCCTAATGTTATAATCCGGGTAGTGTATTTTATGTACTTCGGTCCAACTGTCGAGAATGACAGAGACAATCTATCGAGAACAATATATGAACTGTCGAGCTGTAATACAGTATGTTGTAAATGGATTTGCATTTTGCTTGTAAAGTTGAATTTGTATTTCTCTGTCTGCGAACGAAGCAGGAATGGTAATGATGATATAAGTTAAATATAATAATGTAAGTTGATAATTTGATGGGGAACACCGCAGGTTGAGCGGATGTTACGAAATGATGTTTATCATGCACTGTCAATTGAATCTACTATTTACAATGTTGCAAATTAGAATTTATTTGTTATGAGTTGAAAAAAACCATTTTTAAGTGGACAAGAAAAAGATACAAGGTTTTGCTTCCTCCCTTCAAGTATTTTGAACGATCATAGAATTGGAGGGTTAATTGTATTATATCAAAGATATTGTGGTATAAATTTTTCCTTATGTTTATTCTTCTTCATTTCTTCTACAGTTACCATTTACGTTAACATAATCTTTAATGCTGTGCACATTTTTGTCAACTGTCGAGAATGAATAAAATATTTGTCGGCACCGACAATTGAACATGTCGAGATGTTGTGCAATTGAAAAATGGAAATTTGTAGGTTTTCTCGCTTTCGAAAAATGAGAGAATTGGTACATTTTATAAGTTTCTTGTTTTGAGAAAAATGGAAATTATAAGTTTAACCAATACAAGTGTCTTAGTTTATAAATGAAAATTATAGAGATTATAAATTTCTTAATTTTTACAAATTACAAGTCTGACCAATATAAGTACACTTAGATATTCAAGGCATCACACCAATTGTCTATCAAATTAAATTTGAGATGTGATGAAAATAAGTTGGTAGTTGGGAACTAATTGACCTTAATTAACCATCCTCTTTGCCCAATTATAAATACCAGTGCATGACTTCATGTTCATAAACTATCCCTTGAAATACTAGAGACGCTGTTGTGAGACTTTCATGTTGAAACAGTTAGTTGATACGAGATAATGGGTTCATCCACCTCCAGCAACAAACCATTCAACCCATTATGCATCCATCAATACTGGGTTCATCCGCTGAATTTCCTATCGTTTTATTCTTGGATGACAAGGAGGTAAGCGTTGAGCACCATGAATCTCAAATTATTACTCATACGTGAAATGTTGGGATTGCAACGATAAAAATTCAGAATCAATATGTTGACATTTAACAGCATGAAAATGACACTGCATAATACATAAATTCGTACAATAGCAAAAGGTCAAATCAAGGGTTTTCGTCTTTTTGAAGTGTCTAAATTGATAGTTAAACTATATATCCCGATAGTTTGTAAATATCGGGTTCGACATTTCAAACGTTTAACCTGATGGCTTGTAAATGTTAAATTCGACAGTTAAACTGTCGAAAATGTCAGGAAGCAGACGGTAGTGGGTGGAACTCAGGCTTCTTCAGCACAGCACATTAAGTGTGGTCATTACTATTGAGCTATCAAATGACAAAATGAAAATGTCAGATTGACTTTGTCATTAAAGAGACATTTAATGAAAACATTGTTTGGTTTGATTGGAAGAAATTACTCAAAACATTAATGGTGATAATAACATTTTGTAAAGGACTCCAAAACCAAAAAATCAATGCATAATAGTTTCAAAAATCTCAAATAAATATGCCAATGTTGTATTTAACATTTACAAAACAAAAAGTTATAAGAGTAAAATATAAATAATTTGTAATTACTAACCTTTCAAAATGGATGAAGAATGTAACAAAAATGTCTTCTTGATCAATGAAAATGAAGAAGATAGAGAAAAGTTAGGGTTTTTAATTTATGTTTCTTTTTAAATTTCTTTTACCTTTTTTTATTAACAAAAATTCATATTAATCAATAAAATACACATTTATCCATGTTTTGTATATAAAAATTAAATCATCACATTAAATCAATATTTTTCCTTCAAATCAAACATTAAATGCTACTAAAAATGTGTTATTAAGAATAATTTGAAATTTTCACCTTAAAAAGTGACATTTTTGTAAATTCCCCGAAAGGGAAAGGTGAATCCTTCATATATGGTAAGAACGGTGGATTGATCAAATACGTCAGAATCTACACAAAAATATTAATTAAAAATAAAAAGAAATGTAGAACACGCTATGATTTATGAATGACTTGGTCAATCTTTGTTCCCAACCAGACAACCTGGCTAAAGCTCAATACATGAAACTTCAATCTGCAAGATAGAAGGGATTAAAACAAGGGTTATTCACAAAGGAAAGGATTATGAGTGAGGACAAAACTAGAAAGAAAAATGGAATCAAACTGTATCAGAGAAGCATCAAGAGCCTGTTTCTATAATTGCTGCTCAAATCCTTTGCTTGGCTTGCCAGAGACTCGTAATACAACCCGTAAGGCAACGAGCACTGGTATCGGTCCTCGACATGATTTCACAACTGCCATACTTGCCTCTATTCAACCAAGTGGGAATTTTACTAATCCCGAGTCCCTTCCTTCGTCCGCAGAATTGTTTTCTTGCTTTGAAAATGCATGTTCACACTACTCGAGTACCGTTCTTGCAGATAATATTCGAGCACAAGAATACAACCATCTCTTGGTCTCGAATCGTGTGTGCCTTGATTACATAGGCCATGGTCTTTTCTCCTACTCCCAGCAGCAAGGACATATTCTTGTGACTGAAATTGCCTCTTCTTCGAAATCTACCCCTCCAAGACCTATGCACTCGCCCTTCTTTGACATTTCATACAAGTCGGTGAATTTGAGCTCTTTCTTGTCATATGGTGGCCAAGAATCAGAATTCGAATCCTCGATGCGAAAAAGAATCATGAAATTCATGAATGTCTCGGAAGAGGACTATTACATGGTTTTCACAGCCAACCAGTCGTCGGCATTTAAGCTTCTAGCAGACTCTTATCCTTTTCAATCTAATCAGAACCTTCTTACAGTATATGATTATGAGAATGAGGCAGTGCAAGTGATGGTCGAGAGCTCTAACAAAAAAGGCGCAAGACCAGTATCAGCAGTGTTCTCATGGCCTAACTTGAGGGTCAATTCCAGGAAGCTGAGAAAACTAATTGTGAACAAGAGTAAGCAAAGGAATCGAGGCTTGTTTGTTTTTCCTCTTCAGTCGAGGATGACTGGAGCGCGATACTCTTATCAGTGGATGAGCCTGGCAAGGGAAAATGGATGGCATGTTTTGCTGGACGCCTGTGCCTTAGGAGCGAAGGACATGGAAACATTAGGCCTCTCTCTATTCCAACCTGACTTTCTCATTTGCTCCTTTTTCAAGGTTTTTGGGGAAAATCCATCTGGATTTTGCTGCCTGTTTGTTAAGAAATTCACTGTCTCAGAGTTATGCAAATCCTCCACAAGCTTGGGGATCGTCAGCCTATTGCCAGCAAATGAACCATTTGAACAATTAGCCTTTGCCAGGGCAGAAACCGAAAATGAAACATCAACATCACAGCAAGAAATCGAAGAAACTCCCGAACAAGTTCATATGAAGCTGAAAGAACCATCAGTTTCTGAAATCGTCGAATTGGATGAAGCCCTTGAAACAGCACAATCAAAAAACCGCGAATGTAGCACCTCAGGAGGAATCGAATGCCGGGGTTTGGATCATGCAGATACCCTAGGCCTAATACTGATCAGCAGTAGAACAAGGTGCCTAGTAAACTGGCTGGTAAACGCATTAATGTCTCTTCGGCACCCACATTCAGAAAATGGCCTCCACCTCGTTAGAATCTACGGGCCAAAAATAAAGTTAGACAGAGGGGCAGCAGTTGCATTCAATGTATATGACTGGAAAGGAGAAAAAATTGATCCGATTCTAGTACAAAAACTAGCTGACCGAAACAACATTTCTGTTGGTCGCGGCATTTTAACAAACATCTGGTTCGCAGAAATTTACGAAGAAGAAAAGCAAAAAATATTGGATACAAGAAGTACAAAGGAGGAATCTAAGAAGAAATACAAGAATTTACATGGGATTTCTGTGGTGACGATTTCAATCGGGATGTTAACGAACTTTGAGGACATGTATAGAATCTGGGCATTTGTTTCGAGGTTTCTTGATGCAGATTTTGTGGAGAAAGAACGATGGAGATACACTGCTTTGAATCAAACAACCGTTGAGGTATAAATATTTATTCTTTTATTTTATTTTATTTTATTTTATTTTGGGATTTAAAGTTTATGTGATTTCTTCAAATTCCTAGTTCATTGAATCGAACGTACATCATCAATTGAATTGCTTGGGGCAACTTCAACCCTTCCACCATTTTCCACCAAATTTTACCATTTTTCACCAAAAACACCACTCCAACCCAACACCAAATCTGGTGCAATACTATTGCACCATTTTACACCAAATGTGATAAAAGTCTATTTTGCCCTTTTTCGTGTATGACCAAATTGATATGAAGGGTATTTGTGTCATTTTAAATCATACATAAATTTTAATTCATAATCAAGTAGTTATTTAATAATAATAATAATAATATTGATGATCATCATTTGTAATAAACTTTAACCGCGTAATTAATAATAATAGATGAACGAATTAAAATAAAAGTAATCAAAACGAAATGCATTAATTATGAATATATGAGTTCTGATAATTAAATTAAACACTAGGTCGACTTCTTCATACCATAAGTTCGAGATTCATATTTTCTTTGTTGTGGTATTTTTATTAATTGTACTATATTTTTAAAATATATTAAATAATTTCATATTTTTGTAAACAAAATGTAATTATGTATGTAATAATTTATGTAGTAGTAAATCGAATAAGTAAATAATTTTCCAGCTATATAAATTATGAAAAACAAATAAAATGAAAAAAATGACTAAACACTGTTCATTTGGTACAACTTTTGGTGTAATGGATTGGAGATGATTTTTAGTTTGACCCAAATTTTGGTGCAAATTTTGGTGTATGGTTGGAGATGACCTTAGATCTCAATATCAAAAATCGTAGCTAAAGTTTTTTAAAAATTTCTAATAATTACCCTCATTTTTAATAGCATTCAACTAGAAAGTTAACCTAAAATCCTGTGTATTACTATTAAATTCAATAGACCAAATGGCATTAACAAATAAGCATTACTCGATTTGAGTAAAGCTATAGGTACGGAATGTATTTCACAAAAGCCATACAAAAATTCAAAAAAGTGGGACGTGTCGCCATGTTAGTGAAAGGAAAAGGAAATGGCTACATGGGAATAAATTGTGGGTTTTAAATTGTTACACTACTTTTTATTCCCTATACACAAGGAGAATGTATACACTACTTTTCTCAATCAACATTAGAATTTCTCAAAAATCTTAAAAGTATATCTATTTTTATTCAAATTAATAGTTTTCATTATTAAGATTTAAGAGTGAATGTATCACTGCTCGATAAGACTCAACATTATATTGTACTTGAAGTCAAAAGACTCAAAAGATCATAATTGAAATTAAATTGTTAAAAATTAGGTTACATTATTGCCCTAACTAATAGAATTAATTCATAACGAGAACACATAATTACATTTGAAGATACCACATAGACTGATTTCGAAAAAATGAAAAGAGAGAAGACGATAAGTTCTCTTAAAACTAAAATTCCAGACTTTTATATTGTCTGCTTCTGTCTATCTTCTCCTTCAAAACCCTCTTCAAATCTGATACTTGATATTTTTATGTTCCAATAAATTTTCATCCTAACGACCCACCCTTCCATACATGTCTAGCTCCGTTTCATTCCTTTCGGGATTCCGATTTCTTCTCTTTCAGGCCTTTCAACCAATCGATCCAACCCCGAAAAAGATTGAAAAATCATTACAAACCCCGAAAAATAATACTTCCTGTACATCATGCTACAGCCCCCTCACACATGAGGGGGCCCACTATTTTTATTATTAATGGTGGGCCCCCTCATGTGTGAGGAGGCTGTACAACCACCTTAATCCTTCATGAATGGGGGAGAAAAATTAATTTGATGTGAATATGGTGATTTGACTAATCAATGTCTCCAACAATTAATGGAATCTAACGTTGATTAAGAAAACTGATTGTATTATTTCCTATGTAGAGGAAATAAATTCATAGAAGTTCTATAGGACCCTCACATTGGGGTGGCTTCATGTGAATATTTTATTGTATAAAATAAATTATTCATCCCACTGTTGTGTGTAATCTGTAAAACTTATATAAAAAAATTTCTTGTACATGTAAACTGATTCAAACTGATTTGATGCAATTAGAAATGATACTTTTTTAATTGGTTTTGCCGTTTTGGAGCACCAAACTCACGTATATTGCAAAAAGGTATGATTTGTGCCTACGAGTGGTGCGTAATAGTCACGCTTTGCAGAAAAACAAAGGAAAGAGACTATGTACAAGACATGTCACACTTTGATATACCATTTTAATTTAGGGAGTGTTTGATAGGTATTTTTATGTAAAAATATATTTTAGAATAGTAAATTGATGTGAAATGTGTGGTTGAAAAATAAGAAATTTTTTTTGATTTACATGTAATATTATTTTAATAAAGAATGTGTGGTCGAAAAGAAGAGAGAGAAAAATACATTTTGAAAAAAATGGCTACCAAACGAGGCTTTAATAAAGATTTATGTGCATAAAAGATGAAAATTGAAGTTTTAATTGTTTAAATGAGGAGAAAATTACCTCAAACTCTACTTTTTAAGTTTTATTTCAAAAATCATGTACTAATAATATTTTACATAAAAAATAAATATACCTATCATTTACTACATCTCTCCCCATAATCAAAAGGATAAAGATATTTGTACAAAATTTTGTTGACGAAATGGTATAATCACTGTCACAAAATTAGTGGACCCATGTAAATTTAAAAAAATGTCGGCTTGTGTTTCCCACCCCCATTGTAAGTAATGAGTAAGAGAGTTTGTAAAAAAAAATTTATACATGTAGCATAATCCATAATCAAAATCTTTAGATTTCTAGACAATAAATTCCGGCTACCTTCAAAATTGGATCTACAAACATTTGACAATGAATGGAGACGATTCAGGCGTCGCTATAACTGAATAAAAACTAGAGAAGATAGAGGAATGAAAAAAAATCCAATCGATCTCCAACTATGAGAGTCACCAGTCGACACTGTGCTACAAAGTCCTTAGTTTTGGACCATGATCCCGTACCATCCAAACCCACCAACATTGCATACCCATGGCTATACATCTCTCACCCAGGTCACTAGTCGTGACTCCAGCTCCATTTTCTGAAACAGTTGCCCCTCAAATGCATCTATCGATAGCCTGTTAACCGTTGTCCCAAACATTAACAAATCTTATCGATAAGAAGTGAACGTTGGCGGTGTCGATAGTAGAGATGGTATGAGTATTGAAGAAGAGGAGGAGAAAATGGCAGCAATAGTGCTGGCAACATTCGTAGGTGATTCTGTTGTCGTTCCATTGAAGCTGAAAACAAAGCAAATGTGCGATGGTGGGGGTAAGGATAGGAGGATAATGACTATGATCAGATAATTATATAATTTGTGACTAATATATGATTTATGACCTATTAATTGTATAATTTGTGACTTAATATTTAATTGTGACTCATAAATTATGTGATATGTGACTGTGACCTTGTGATTTCTGTTTTGGTATATGACCGTAACCTATAAATTGTGTTGTATTTGTGACTATGACCTATTAATTTCAATTGTCGGTCACAATATTTATCACTGGTCACAAATGTTAGCACTTAGTTTTAATTTTTTTCACAAGCTTGTTAAATTTGAAATTGTATTCTTAAATATTTGTGGTTATGAAATTTCCATAAATCAAATCCCTTTTACCTTAAAAGAGAGGATGCCAATATTACTATTCATCTTGAGGCAAAGCTTTCACACTAAACTGGTTCCTTATTGTAGTCAAACTTGTTCAACATTATTTCCATTGAAAAGAGGCTTTAATTATTTCTACTGTTCATCCACAGAAACGAAATTAATGAGATCACTTTATTACTTTCCATTATTGACTTAAATAAGTAATTTACTGTAGCTCTATGTTCATTTCCTATTATTTATTTCTATTATCCCTACTACAATAAAATAAAAGAGGCAATATTCCAATTATTGTTCATTCAGGTCGTATTTTGAGTTTTTACATTAAAAAAAAAAGTTTACGTTATACCACATAATATTTTTTTTAAGAAAATGATATAAATTATATTAAGAAAATTGTCGCGAAAAAATAATAAATATTAATGAAATAATTAATTAATTTTTTAAGATAAAAGATGAGTTTTATGCAGTTTTTAACACACACGTTTGATATATGCTTAACTATTTTCGATATTTATTTAGATCATTCAATGTGTTTATGACATAATTTTGGAAATGAGCTTCGAAAGAAAATAGAAGATTTATGGCAGATATTTATAAAAAACTAAATAAATTACCCAATGAAAAAAAAACAAAATCAAAAAATAAAATAAAATAAAAATTCCTACTTGGAGCAAAATTGCTCCATGATGCCCGGAGCAATTTTGCTCCTGGCATCCTGGATGCCAGGAGCAGGCACCTAGGAGTAATTTGCTTCGTGCATCACGGAGCAAATGCTCCATGATGCACGGAGTTGCTCCGTTGAGCACTTTTATTTTTAGATGATGCTCAGTGTCAAATTTTTTCTTTTATTGGATGATTGATTTTTTTTTTTGTCAAATTTTTTTCTTTTTTTTTTCACTAGGTGATTTATTTAGTTTCTTTTTTTTTTATATATAAATCTATCATAAATCTTCTATATTCTCTCGAAATTCATTTCGAAAACTATATAATAGATATATCGAATGATTTAAATGAATATCGAAAATAGTTAAACGTATATCAAACGTGTGTGTTAAAAAATGCGTATAACTCGTCCTTTTTTCTTTTAAAAAATCAATTATTTTATGAATATTTATTATTTTTTCGCGATAATTATCTCAATATAATTTCCTTTTTTTCTTTGGTGATTGATATATTTTTTATACATATATATTTTACCCTTATATAACGTGACACTAAGTATATTAAATCATGTACATTGTTTATTTCCTAAAAGTAGTTGCGATAAATCAAAGTAAAACTTAACACAATATTGAAAAAATTTAATACCTAATCAAAAAAATATCGATTAATTTATTTGAAAATATTGAATATTTTAGATGTATATAAATTTTGGAGAATTAAATTCATATATATCAAAATTGGGTGATTAAATAAAAATCTCAACCCCATTTAAGTGACAAAATATTATACTGTGACTCAGCTTGTGTTTGACTCCATTAATTTTTTTTCTCATTTTTCTCTCTTTTATTTTCAATCGCAAAATCTTCCATAAAATAATATTATACGTAAATAAAAAAATTCATTAAATCAATTGGATATTGAACAATAAAAAAAAGATTCGATTAATTACACGA